CCCTCCTCCTCTCCTTCCATATTGATCTCTGTCCACTCTGTATTTATGCCTCAGATTTACTCTCTTCCTGGACCACAGGCCTCCCTTTCCTCAGTCCAGTTGCTGCTACAGTTTCACACACACACACACACACACACACACACACACACACACACAGTAGGTCATTCATCTCTCGACCCCACCTGTCTTTTATTTCATCCTCTCCATCTGAATCCGTGCTGCTCAGAATAATGTGCTCACAGCTTAATGTGCTGTGCTCCTCAGTGTGCATGCATAAACACAGAGTACTTACAGCTGGGGGCAACGTTTCCACAGTTATTATTCATCTCAGGTGCTGATTCGATGTTTACGTTGTACATATTTTGTTTACAGTGTAGTTTGGCAGTAACAACGAAAGAGGACAGCAGGTGCAGTCAATTAAAATCACAAGCAGTGGAAAGGTTATCATGAAAGAATTGTTTTTCTTCTCACACCTCAAAAATTGTTTTGTTTATTCTAACTTGAGTAAAAATCTCATTCACACCTTTTAACCATTTCCCCCAAAAAACGTTATGTGCAGAGCTGCATCCGCAGATATCAAAACTCTTGTGGCATTATTGTCATGCCACATGAGTTTTGATGAAAATCAATTTGAATCCCTGGAGAAATTTGAGCCGACATTTTTAATCATTCCCCTTTTGGCATTTAAATAACTTCTGAAAAATCATCCAGAGCGTTTGAGTCATCACCTCACCATGTGGAGCCACAAAAATGATGAAGTACTGGCCCCAGTGCTGAGGCCTTTCAGAGGTGATGGAAAGCAATACAAGAGGGTGCCAAAGTATTCCATGATTTGTCTTACAGGCCAATAAAAACTGAAAAGTTTGTTATTTGTGTCAGCCTCATGTCAAATGCCTCATAGTGTTAACAATGATAACATTACTTGTAATAGGATTACATCATTTATGTATTAATGATCTTCTCTTTATGGAATTCTGACATGTAGAAACTAGGGCTGAAGGGATTAGCTATTGATGAGCTGGTTGGTTGCCAGGATATTTATTGTCAAATGTTGATAATTATAATCGTTTACGTCATTATTTTAAGACAAAAAGTGGCACATTCACCATTTTGAGCCTCTTAAATGTGAGGATTTCCTGCTTCTTTTTCCACTGTATGACATTGTAAATGGCATATACGCTTTTGGATTTGAATTGTATATAGCAACAACTTTATTTAATTATTTTTATCATATTTTATTTTTCTGTTGATCAAGCTGAACTGATCTGTTAATCCATTAATCCTTACAGCTTTGCATTAAACCTAATTGAAAGGTTAGTCGATAAGGAAAATAGTTGTCGTAATGGAAACTAGTTTTCAGTAATCGCAGCTGTTTCTTAGATATCTGCGTTGGAGGCATTTGCATATCTAACACTTCCTCAGCACTTTAATTATGGTGATGTCATTTTATTTTTAGACGTTTTATTCTGCGTTACAGAGGCTTATAGCGGACAGGGTGATCTACTGTCAGTGAGGTATGCAAGAGTTCTGTCTCTTGCTCAAGGACACCACAAGAGGACAACTATTGACAGACACACACTTGCTGTGGCAGGCGGTGAACTTCCCGTCACAGGATTGACTATAAGTAGGAGGCCAGCTTGCCTTTAATACAGCTCTAAATGGAGCCTAGTGCCGTCTCACGGAGTACAAGTCCCAGCTCACACACCTAATTTGCTGCGGGTTTGTGTTTGGAGGCATGCAGTCAGTCAGCCCTTCGACACGATTAGAGTCTTATAGGTTCTTTTGAACAGCTGACGGCTTGTGGATACGGGGTTTTGTACGGCGTGTAAAGAGGGTTTGTGCAGTTTGAGTGTGTTGTGCAGTGGCCCTGTTCAGCTTGTGTGTGAGGTGATAAGGGGATCCCCAGTGGTGGGTGGAGCATTCGATAAGAGCCCTCTGCAGAGGACTGATACTGAGCAGGAGGAGGGAGACCTGTAGGGTGCCCTCATTGTGCTTCACTGAGGGCCTCTTCTCTGAATGCAGATCAGTAGTGAAGTCAATCAGCAGTGATGGGAAGTATATTTACTCAAGCACTGTCAAATACTTACATGTTCTGCTACTTTGTACTCCATAATTCAGAGGCAAATATTCTACTATTAGTTACTTTGCACCACTGTAAACTCAGAAATATGTTGCAGATTGTTTGCATTATCTCTAATTGTAGTTTTAATGTCCTCACTTAAATTTCTGATGACAAAAAATATGTGGTGTTTAGTGACAATAGTAGTGCCACATAACAACACTTCTTTTTTCTCCAACTTGGTGTTCTACGGTATCAACGCAAGTTGTATTTCCCGCCTCATTTCACCTCACGTGCTTATCACAAATGGCCAACAACGGAAACACACGCACACGCACACACACACACACACACTCGCAGTTCAAACTACGTGAGCTGCAACATTCAAAAGACGGTGGTTTCGTCATGTCGCGCTGTCCAGAGGGGGTTGCCCTCCCCCCTGTGTGGCATGATAAGAGCGCTATGCTGCACCCAGATAGACAGCTATCTGAGCTGCTACCCTTCAACCCGCCATTCCACACAAAGAATACACAGACACACTGCCGGGGTGGCGGTTGAGCAAAGGGACACGCACACAAAATGGAGATTGTGAGGGGCACAGGAGCTTGTGGGGCCAATTTGAAAAGCTATGATAGGCGTGTAAAAATATACCTGCGCCACATCTGAGATCACATAGATTTCTTCAAATTGCCAAAATGACATTCTCATTGCCACGTACAGATACAGCTCCTCCCCAGTGGGGTTGATAAATTGAAACTTAACAGCAAATTACAAACCAAATGGCAGCGAGATGGTGGTCCTTACAGAGAAAGCTGGATTCACAAGTTAGCATCATTTCCCCTAAAGTGGGGCTTTAAATAGTTGCTTTTTATTTGTATTTGTCTTAGTGTTGTTGTTTAAAACATTAGAAAACAGTGAAAAATATCCAATACGATGTTTTTGAGGCCAAAAGTAGTCTCATTTGAACCCCAGTTATTCATCATAACTCCTCTGCTGTCTGTCTTTCCTCTCTGTTTCAGACTACCTCCAGTATTCGAGGTCCATCCTGTCATTTCGTTCCCTCCACACCCAGACCACCTGAGGGACGCCGCCTGACGTCCCTCTCACCCACTTGCCACGCTGGCTACCGCCATGACTTCCACCACAGACTTTGACAATGCGGAGATCACGCAGCAGTACAGCCGCATCAACACCCGCTTCGGCCTCACCGACGAGGACCTAGACAATGACAACACCTCTGCCAGGCTGTTTGAGCGCTCGCGCATCAAGGCCCTCGCAGGTGAGTGCATGCATAGTAAACAGGCTGCGCCCTGCCTGAGGCATTTGTGGGGCACATTTTTGAGATGACAGCGTCTTTTTAAGAATGTGGGAAGGGCAGAAAGGTTGAGCTATAATGGGGGTCTGTTTAACTTTGGCAGGTTTGAATGGGCTTGAATGTGTCACTGACATTCACTAAGATTCATTCAAAAAAAATTACAAAATCACTCTCCAGTTGACCCATGATTTTACTCCAAAGCTCTAAACTAGAGCTCTGCAGGTGTTGTTGTGTGTGTGTGTGTGTGTGTGTGTGTTTGTACATGTTACTCGTGGTGTCACACACCCCCAGCAGCTGAGGCCTGACAACCGCTCCACACCCTCTGCAAGTAACTGGGATCGCTTGCACATTCCCAGAATGTCCAGCGTCTGACCGATCTGGACAGCTGCCCCGCCCGTCTGCCTCCCATAGCACACATCTCTGGCATTTCAGGCTGAGCTGGTGAGCCGTTACTCCACCTGTGGAGCGACTGCTCTGGGTTTTAAAATAGCAGTGTTTCTGCGGTGGACGGAAGCGTAACAGAAACAGGGAGTTGGGGGGCCCCACCGTGAATATTTTCGTAAATCCATAGTCACAAGAGAGGTCAGCCACAAAGTGGGAAAACATGAATTCGGCTCTGTGGAGACGGCACTGAAGGGGGGTTGAAGGTGGTGAAGTCTCTAGTATGTAAGGTGTGATTCTATCGCATGATGGTCTCTTGTTTAATTTAACAAAAGAAGCTAACTGTCTGAACACAAGCAAGAACACGGCCTGTATACAATAGGGTGAAATCTTTACGGAGTAAGTCTGGTGATAATCTTTATATTTCTCATTGTTACCAGATCACATGAAAAGACCAAAACCAACAATGGCTTGAAGCCTCCAGCGAGTATTGCCTGAGCTCCATTGTTGTCCTATAAAAACACATCAATGAGCCACACTGAGTGACATGTTCCTTCATTACCATGAACATGGGCACTGTAGTTTATTTTGAGTTGACCTCAAACACACAATCCTGTGCTCATGGGAGAGGTTTGCCTTCAGGGCTTTCTTCCAGAAATCTCCTTATGTTTACGCAACAAACCATCTTGGTAAGGTTTAGGAAAAGATCATTGTTTGGGTCAAAATAAACCCTTTCTGGCAGAAAGCCCTGAAGGCAAACTTCTCCTGTGTGCTGTAAATAATCACCAGAGCACCAAATGTGTATTAATCGGCAGCAAATATTCCCCTCCAAAAAAACAATATTTATTGTTTGAGTAACGTTTGCTGAAAAACTTCAGTGCCCAGCTGTTCATATCACTGGTCCCAGAGATTGTATTGACCACTGTGGTTAGCAAAAATACCTAAAGTGACTACTCTGTCAGAAATGCAAGAGAGGAAGAGAAACTTTGTATCCCCAAACAAACCGTAGTACTAAACTTATGATCATATGTTGTCTTCCACATACATGAAATCTGCACATGCACTTCGTCCTCCACATCGTGCACTGTCTCCTGTGAGTCCCTTGTGGTTTTGGTATCTCTTCAGTAATAATCAAACATTTAATATGGAGCATTGCGTCAGTACAGGCACTGATACCGCTGAATGGCGTCTTCATTCATGCCTCATAATCATTGGCTCACACATCAGTTGCTTTGTTGCTGACAATGAGATCAGTCGTTTTAGTGAGTGAGTGTGTGATCAAGGCTATTCTCGCATACTGCTGCACCAACCTGCCTAATATCTTTGGGTGCTCATTCGTGGCTGCTTGTTCAAGGCCCTTTCTGGGTTGCAGTGACTCACACTTTCTCAAAAACACCTTTCATTGCCTGTTTGATACTGCCGTTGATTGACTGCTGTCTGCTGACTCCTCACTTGCTAATGTTAACCGGCCGGAACGGGTCGCACGTGGGACACGGGGAAAACGGTTTCCTCCCTTCTGGACGGTGGTTATGTATTTGGCTGACAGCTGACAGCTAAAAGAACTACACACACACTGCTGACTGCATCGCCGCCGCAGATGCTGCTCTGTGGCCGGAGACACACTTATTCTGAACCTTTTTATTGGGCAACAACCTCGCGGATATACTTGTAGTCTAGACGAGGGGGGGTTAACCAATTGTGTGTTGTATTCATTCATTCAAACATTACAGCAGTGGTCGTTGCAGACACACCTGGCAGAGATCTGCACTCTATTGAGTGCACCTTCTATTTTTTTCTTGTATTCATCTGTTCAGGGGGGGCAGTAGTTCCTCCTCTAACAGATCTGCTCTAAATGGCCAATACCTTGATGTATAAGTGTGTCTGACTGAAATCGAGAAGCAGTTTGCAGACTGCAAGTGCATTAAATAGCTATTCCTGAAAAAAGTGCTGGCCATAAATTGTATAAAAAATGGGGTTTGATATAATGAAAGGAGGATTACTAGTTCAATAACTGATTTGAACATTTGATGCCAGCTTTCAGTACTTGATGCTACACACACATTTTTGTCTATAAAGACCCAATACAAAGTTTTGAGGTTTGATATCCAGCCCAACATCTGAGTGGCATAAAATATTTAGTCGTGTCCACACCGTTTATTGGGCAGTGCTCTCACCACTTCTCTTGCTGTCTCTTTCTGTCTCTTTAAGTGATGAAGGCTTCTGTGTGGGTGTTGGTGATATTGTGTTAGAGTGCTGCTGCACTGATGTTTCTGTAATGCAATCAGTGTTTCCTGTTAGAGAGAAAGAGAGAGAGAGAGACAGAGAGAGAGTGGTAAAAGAGGGAGGAAAGTCAAGAGAGAGGCAGAAGATGAGAGAGGCTCTGAATGACGCCCGCTGCTGATTTACAGCCTGTGAACCTAGAAATATGTACCCAGCTTGCCATCAAAGCACATAAATAACATATTGAGTAGCCATCCATTTGCACTCCTCCTTGCATAAACCTAAAAAAGACATGTTCCTTTGTGATAGACAGTTTCATATTGGATTATTGGCACAGGAATTACACTACACATTCAGTGATGTCACGACTGAGTGGGAGCGCTGCGTAGAGGGAGGGAGTCTTGTGAGCACGTGGACATATTGAAACATATTGTATGCATGGATGGGGCGAAAGAAACCACTCTGAAGTGAACCAAAGGCTGCCAGAGAGTGGAGGCATAGCATCATCACGGCAGCAGTGAGGAGAGAGTGAGAAAGAGAGAAGGAGGGAGGGAGGGAGCAGGAGTGAACACAGGAGAGATCTGGAAAGGAGGACAGAGAGCCAAGAGACAGACAAGAGGAGAGACGCGGAGTGCCAAGCTCCTCTGCTGGCTCCAGGCTGTCTTGTTGTTGTTTGGGGGGGTCAAGATGAGCAGCCCGTGCCTGCTGCGCGCTGCCCCGATAAGCCAACCCCGGCTCCGAGAGGTCAAGATCAGCCTGAAGGCCAGCAGCAGGGACACCACATCCATCCGGGGCAGCAGCGGAGGGACCAAGGAGGCTGCCAGCCGACCCTATGCCGAGAAAGAGGCCCCCGTCCGGGTCGGCATGAGCATCAGCCGGAGCAGGAGCACCCCGCCGGTCCACCGGACCCAGAGAACCGAAAGCAGGAAGGCAGCGAGGGGAAGCAGCAGCAGCAGGAAGCAGCAGGAACCTGAACACCACCCAGAGAGCAACGGCTCTCTCCTGCACATCCCGGTCGCCGTGGCGCCCGTGGGACTCTCCCCCTTCTCTTCGTCGTCCTCCTCGTCCTCCTCCTGCACCCCCAGACGCCAGCGGCCCTCTCACCCTCAACCTCCCCCTGCCCTCCTCTCTTCCTCCTCCTCCTCCTCAGCTAAAAGTATGAAGCGGGCGCGCTGGCTGAGTTACAGCACCTCCAACATTTGTTTCAACTCCATCCTGGATGGACGCTTCAGGCAGTTACAAGGTACAGGGTCCTGATGGAAGAGCTGTGTGTGTTTGTGCGTCTGTGATGTGTTTTTGGAGAGAGTTTGTCTAACCTCCGCTGCCTCTCTGATGAGACAGAGAGAGATAACACTTTTCCAATCATGCCCCTCCCTTCCCCAACTTGTGTTTGTGTTTAGACCGGGTCGGGATCGCTGGGAGCTCGAGCTGTGATGTGAGCAAGTGTTAGTTTCCCATCCTGGAAAAAGGTGGCAGCGAGAGTCTGAGCTTACAAAGCGGTGTCCCTTTTATTGAATGTATAGGGTAGTCATTTATTTATTTCCAGGAAGCCGTAGCTCTGCCCCAATTGTTCACTGACTTGGCTTTGAATAATTCATAGGCAAACTCCTAAAAAGGTTGTGATGTTTTCCCTTCCAAAGGTGGTGTTATGCACTCTTAGCTGCTCCTTTTTCTTAAAATAACTTACATATTCATCATTTCAGCTTGTCACCTACACTCCATATGGCCCTTACTCTTCACAAACTGTTTCACAGAACAAAGCATAAGTGTGTTTTCATCCTCACCTCCTTTTGTACCTGAATGATTGCGTTGGCGGTGTTAAAAAAAGAATCAATTTCTCTGGCGGTTTAACTTCTTTCGGAGTATGTTATTAAGGTTTTAAGTGAGAGGTTTGCCGTCACTGTGGATTTCTGTTAGCTTGCACTATGCTATCCAACTCCCCGGTGACAGGAGTGCATTAGCGAGAGGAGGAAAATGGAGGAGACGATGCAGGAGCAGAGAGGGAAACGTGCTTTTTTTTCTGCCTCTTGCTAGATTTCAAGTAGAGACTGATTCTGAAGACTGCAGAGTCAACTGATACGTGAAGCGGTAAACTTCTGAAGCTCTCCCAAATTAGAGTGGTTGCTCGGAGCCAAGTGTATTGATCCACCGATTGCATGTCATGGAATTTTATTTACTTTTTCTTTACTCGTTATTGGGGAGATCCGGTCAACACTGCAGCAGAATGAAGTTGGACAGAACAACAATAGCAGAAAAACACGAGTAATAAATAGAGGAAGACAGGGAAAACCGTCAGTGCTTTGCGTTCATTGATTTCAACCATTCATCCGTTTTCTTATGTCTTTCTTGGAATTTGACACACT